GTCAAATTAGAAGAAAATTGGAAATGTAATGGACAATGATGACAATCAAGCACTACAAGTAGCTTTACTGTAGATGTTTTGAACTTCTAAATAATACGTACTAACGAAGAAATAAAATATATAAACGTAAGGCAAAATGTAAACCAGTTATCGGAAAATGATTAGTAGATGTAAATTGTAACCATTAATAGCTAGACTGTATCCTCAAAACAGCAATCAGTAACAGGCTTGGCCTTAATTTCAACCAATTTTACGACATCAAAAAAAAAACAAATTTTTTGTCATCCTGAATTTTGAAATTCAACTTAGGCATCAGGAAAAAGTAGAAAAACACATTTTGTGGCAGGGATTTCAGGTGGGAAAAACTTGTCATTCTGAATTTTGAAATTCAACACAGACATCAAGAATGGTACAAAAACACATTTTGAAGTGAGCCTTTGGGCAATAGTCGTGGTGTTTCTCCTCCTCCTTTTCCTCTATTCCACATCGATTGTGAGTGGTGTGTGTATGTACTACTTAAGGTTCTCAGTGTGGCCTGAAAGTCAACATGCCTTTTGAGTTGAGTTGTACGTTTCCCTTAGATAGTGTATGTGTGCGCGTTTATTTACGGTTGTTGGTGGTAGGGCTGCAAACGAGCCGAACCGAGTCGAGTTTTGAGCTAATCGAGCCGAGTCTCGACTAAATTTTACCAAACTCGAGCTCGAGCTCGACGAGCTGGCAATTTTCGAGCTCAAGCTCGACTCGAATCAAGTCGAGCCGAGCTCGAGCTCGAGCTCGAAAAAAATATAAAAAATTATTTTATTTTAAAAAAAATAAATAAAATAATATTTTTTCTGAATAAATAATAAAATATTAAGAATATATCCGTAATTTCACTATGAAAATAAAAAATAAAAATATATATATATATAATATACGTAATTTTATTATTAAATAAAAATAAAAAAAAATATATATATATATATACTCAAGCTCGCGAGCTAACGAGCTTAATATTCTGAGCTCGAGTTCGAGCTCGATTAATATCGAACTCGACTCGCGAGCGGCTCGATTCGTTTGCAACCCTAGTTGGTGGTAGGGATTTCAGGTGGAAATGACAGCAAAAATCCAAAAATAAACTCGGCAAAATTATACCTAACTTATTTCCGGATGACAAGCAGCAAGCTCTTCCCTTTTTTTTTTGAGCCACATCTTTATACACAGTCGTTGGTCTTCATTTCTCTAATTCTAGCTTATTTTGGTTTGATGAAGCAAATTTAGTATAAGAAAATGCTAGGAAAATTTATTCAAAACATCCCTTATATTTTATTACATTAATTTTTTCATTCTTTACATTTAAAATATTAACTTTACGTCTCTTACGAATTCAAGTTAGCAAAATTAGATCCCAACCTAAGTTTTTTTTATCACTTTTTAGTCTAAAATCATCATGCGACCTACATGCAGTTATTTTTTTATATACAATGTGATAACATCCTACTTTTTTTTAATGGCAAAAGTCAATATGGATTGAATCACATCCCTTTTTTAGGGAAAAAATGAATATGATCCATGTTGGATCCTAATTTTTTTAGAAATAAAAATGAATATGAATCAAATCATTTGTTTAACTACAAATAGGATCTAACCTTTTGTTATTCCTAAAACAATAAGACCATATGTTGTGTGAGTCACATGATGGATTTGGTGATAAAAAAGTAGTCGAAATTTAAGTTGTAATTACATTTTATCAACTTGATTTTGTAGGATACGTAAAAAAATTTAATTGGTGAAATGTGGAAAACATTTTAACCTATTTTTCCTAAATGCTAAACAAAGTAGCACAAATAAGGTACGATTCCTCTGGCGTTATTTTCAACATCTTTTTGCCCGACAAGAAAAGGATAAGGTCGGTCACGGTCCGATTCAAATCGATGGAACTTAGCTACCAGTTGCATCAAGCAATGCTAGTGATGTGAACGCAAAGACCCGGTCGATATTAGCTAGACGATGTTTTAGCCCAGGTAGCTGAATGAAGGCAAGAAAGACTTACAGGTAAAGTATCAAAACGTGGTATATGATACCATTAGCACTACTAAGAGTATGCTTAGTTAAATTTTAATTGAACTAGAGTGTTAGGTCACTCAAATTTATATGATCGTCCCTCATCTTTTTTGACAATGATTTCAATTCTTTTATTAAGAACAATAAGTAAAGGAACAAAAAGATCACTATACATATATTTTTTACTATCTTTTGGCATAATTATTGAAAGTGTACTTTAGTATAATTGATAATTGTACTAAAACTATGGGGCCGCCCTCCCGTTTGGATTGCTATTTTTATAATTTTTTAAAAAAATTGTATTGCAATAATTTGATATATGTAAAATAAAAAAGTGATTGAGAGATGTATTCACAAAAAAGGTAAACAATTTTATGGGAAAAACCAATATCCAAACAATAATTGGACCCTAATGTTTCTTAATTGAACTTCGTTAGATCTATTTTCGATTCTCAACTCAAAAAACACTTCTGTTAAAAGTGTATAGCTAGGACTGTTTTAATGGGGTTGGGTCAACTCGAATTTGGCCCAACAAAAAACCCGATGAACCCGACATTTTAGTGAATTAGTCTGAGCTTGAGCCTAAAAAATTAGGTCCGAATTAAATATGAGCCAAGTTTGTGCTATATTAGGTTCAAACCCGATATAGGCCCGTCCCTTTAATTACCTATATATATATAATATTTATATTTTAATATTATGTATAATTATATATTCAAATATATTATTACTAAATACTAAATATATATAAATTACAAAACACAAAAATAAATCTAAAAACTCTTCCAGGAGCTTTCTTAAGAACCAATATTAGTAATGCATAACTAAATCTCTAACTTTTCTTATTGGTTTGAGTAAATTTTTGTGTTGACATAATATTGGTTGATTTCTTTTTGGTCTACAAACACAAATCATCAAGCATATTTGGATTTAAATCACAAGATTATAAAAAAAGTTTCAACTTTTAAATATGTATTGACTTATGATTGATTGTTTAATTACTATTTTTCATGCATTCTGAACGAATTAAATATAAATATTGTTGAAAAATTTGGTTTATACACTTTTTAAGAAATATTATTATTTGTTCATGTTTAGTTTTAATATTATAGTCTTGTAAATGTTAAATTAGTTTTACAATTTAATAGTTATAGTAATTATATTAAGAAAATTAAGGAGTAATAAGTGAGGTTTGACTAAACCCGATTAAGACTCACAATCCGAATATTATGCGAGTTGAGTATGAATTTCACATTTATGAACCGAAAACTCGAAAATATTTCAAATAAAATGAGCTGAGCTTAGAGTTTATAAAAGCCCGGCTCATTAGGTTCGATTGACAGACTATGTATAGCCTTTGCTTTTCATCTCTGCTAGGAGTATTATTAGTTTTCTGTTTAGTAAACACGAAAAACTGGTCAATCTCTCTCCGACAAAATCTCTGTTTTTGTAAGTTGAGTGAAATAACTCTTCTCTATCAAACATGACGTGATGATTATGCTTAGCTATAATTCATGAAATATGCGGGCGGCCTGTTTGTGCATCATTTCAGCTAAATTCATAATCTTGCTTCTTGTGAATTGTATTCGTTGCTCAGGTAAATTCACAAATAGTAGAGAACTACGCATTGCCCAATGGGCGAGAGTTTTATTTCTCTGATCTCCAAACCGGTATTTGATTCCCACAGCCTATTCCATCTCCCGCTCGGTTTTTCTCTTGTGCAAGTCATGGAAAAGAAAAATAAAGGACCAAAAAAAACAAAGAAGAAGAGAGAATATAAAGAAAAGAACGTGATGTTATCACTATAGATAGAAGAGCTTGGCATTGACGGAGAGAATATGAGCAGCAAAAGAATGAAAGACGGTCTCACTCATCAAAAGTCTAACAATGATATCGATGCTTTTCTTGTGGGATAAGGCATTTTTCACCGGGAAAAAAACCTCCAGGGTGAATGATGATTAGACGATTAGTCTTAATAAAGCAACTTATTAGTACTTATTACGAGATGGAATTAGAGAGCCAGGTTCATGTGTTCGTTTGGTGCTACAGGGGATGTGTGAAATGGAGACTGGACGCAGGGCATAAATCAGTAAGAGGATGGGATGATTACTTATGACACATGTCCTGATTTCTTAATCAACAATAGGTTGCACTCAACGGTGCAAATTGCACATAATTGCTACTGCATAAAACCCTTTTGCTCGCTCTACAACTTAGAGACCACAATGCATTTATATTCATCGTACATAAAAAAATGCATTGATAAAAAAAAATGATTGAGAAACGTATTGATGTTGTAAGTAAATAAATTTTAATAAATAAACGAGAGTCTTTGAATATACACCGTAAAGCCTAATTGAAACAAACAATTACCAAAATTTATTTTAAAAATTTAATACAAATTATATATATCACAAAATAAAATTGTGCAGAAATTTATAATTGAAAGTCAAAATTGTAAAGGCCATGGCAAGAAAAATCAAAAGGGTCTAGACACATGCGGTTGAAGTTTCGGTGCGGTTGACTGTAAGGTTACCATACGTTTTTGCATAATTTAATATACACTAATATAATTATTATTATTTCTGTAAACTACACTAATAAAATATTTCTGAAATATATTATTATAGCTTTCTTTTTTTTTTTCTGAAAAAACACTACAATAATCACTAATTTTTATCGAAAGCTAAACGTACGTGTCCCAATCCCACGTCGAAAACATTTTGAGCAGCACTAGCAGAGTTGCAGTCTGCACTCTGCACCATCATTAAACTCTTCTGTTTTTAACTGAAACTCTACCACACCGTATGGTCAGGTCAACAATGAAACCGTGGTTAAAAAGTGAGCCACAAAACTTAACCCGTCATTATCTTTCGCCCTTCTCCCCATTTACTGTTGATGATTTCTAATTAATTTATTAGCTCTTCTTTAATCAAATCCACATCGGCTACCTGTTCTATGATCTAAACATTACACGACTGTAGACCAAACACAAGAAGACTTTCACATCTTCTTCTCTCTCTCTCTCTGCCCTCCTAAATTTCCTCTTTCATCTAGTTTTCTGAGCCGTCTTCTTGAAAGTACTGCTCCCCAGCCCAATTTCCGGCATTTGCATCGGAGAAAACGTCACCGGAAATTCAAGAAGCTCGGTGCTGAAATGTTTTCTGGTTATTAGACAGGTGAACAGCTACCTAGATTTAAGGTCCATGTTCTAGAAACCTCATGAAGTATAGCAAAATTTCATCTTCTTTTAGCTGAAGATACTCATGTCGTGCTCACCGGCGATAATTCTCTGGCGACTCTGATTCCGTTATCTGCAGAGCTTACAGGTGGTGGTTCTGTGAAGTGGGATTTGCTAATTAGCTCATTTCTGATCTGGTCGTGGTCAAAAGTTGATCGTAGTTGGTAGTTGGCGATATATTTTTTTTTTTTTAAATTAGATTGACTGGTGGATAGATACACAAGTCTGAGAGCTGAGTGCTGTGACCATAAGCCGTAGAAACGAAAAAGGAGCTTTATATCCTAAAAGTTTTTTTGCAGCATAAATGCCCCAAAATTTCCCTTTCTAGCAGTCTAAAAATCCCTTTTAACAACTCCAGTACTCTTTCCATGCCTGCCGATATGGATAACTCTTCTGTCATGAATGATTCTACCGCTTCCGGTGATGCCAGTGCTTCTTCTTCAGGCAATCAAGCGGCAGCCCCTCCTACATCATCTGCCAAGAAAAAACGAAATCTCCCAGGCATGCCAGGTAAAAGAGCCAGAAAGGAAAACATAAAAAGACTGGTAATCTGTTTTTGCTTATTGCTGAAGTTTCATTTTGTTTTTCTCTTAGATCCGGATGCAGAGGTGATTGCTTTGTCACCAAAGACTCTGTTGGCAACAAATAGATTTGTGTGCGAAATTTGCAATAAAGGGTTCCAAAGGGACCAGAATTTGCAGCTGCATCGGAGAGGACATAATTTGCCTTGGAAACTTAGGCAGAGATCGAGCAAAGAGGTCAAGAAGAGAGTTTATGTATGCCCTGAACTCACCTGTGTTCACCACGATCCTTCTCGAGCATTGGGCGATTTGACCGGAATTAAGAAGCATTTCTGCAGAAAACATGGCGAAAAGAAGTGGAAATGCGACAAGTGTTCGAAGAAATATGCTGTTCAGTCTGATTGGAAAGCTCATTCAAAGATTTGTGGAACTAGAGAATATAAATGTGATTGTGGGACTCTGTTTTCAAGGTTAACTGATCTTTTCCCTACCTTGTTAAGATAAATTTTTCCCTCTGTTTTTCTTTTTATTTTCAAGAATGATGTTAATGTCTGTTTGATGATTGCAGGAGGGATAGCTTTATTACACACAGAGCTTTTTGTGATGCATTAGCTGAGGAGAGTGCAAAAGCACAGACAGTTGAGGCACTTCCAGCTCCTACTGCTGATGATGAGGAGCCGAAGCTTCAAACACTTGCATCCTCATCACCACCACCTTCGGTAGCAGTTCAGCCTCCTCCACCAGCTGCTTTAGTATCTTCAGCTTTGCCTGTTCAAAATCCAGGTATTTCTGCTCGAAACTGCCAATTTGTAGCTCAGCCTCCTCCACCTACTGCTGATGATGGGTAGTTATGTAGCTCTGTAGTCCGGGTTTTGTCGGATGTATATCATACTTTTGCCGGGAAAAAAGAAAAGAAAAGCAAACTGTTGTTGTTGTTTCTTTGTCTATTAATCTTGGAGTCTAGTTGTTTTTGTCTGTTCCCCTTCTTTGTTGTTATCTGCATCTATGGTTGACTAGATTTACTCCCTTGCTATAAGAACAAGGATGAACTACTACTAACTTCAATTGGGGAAAACCATATCTCAACTATGAATAAAAAATTGAGATTGAATCTAAGCAATCTTTTGGTAAAGAATGGACAGAGATCCAGCCAAAAGCTAAAAGTTAAGTTGATGCCGAGAAAGGAGGGTATTATTGAATCTCTTTTAATCATATACAAAGCTCTTTAATAAGAAAGGTTATACTTTCGTCATTTCTTGCTTCTTTACCAGGGAATGCTCTTTTTTTTTTTTCGCTCATTCTTTTTATATGATTTGTTTAATTCAACAGAGGGACCTGAAAATCCCAAGCAAAGTCCCGCTCCACCTCAGATTCTAGAGGAAACATCTGTTGTGACCAGCTTAACCGGCAGCTGTGGTAGCAGCAGCAGCTCAAGCAGTCATGGAAGTACTAGCAGCAGCGTGTTTGCAAGCTTATTTGCCTCATCAACAACATCGGCAAGCTTGCAATCTCAAACACCTGAATTTACTGACTTGTTTAGAGCTGTGGCTCGTCCTGAGAATGCATCTGAAGTCGTAGCGTCTTCTTCCACGGAACCCATATCCCTCTGTCTTGCTACAAGTCACGGTTCATCAATTTTTGGAACAGCAGGGCAAGAGCGTAGGCAGTATGCGCCTGCACCACAACCTGCCATGTCTGCAACAGCATTACTGCAAAAAGCTGCTCAGATTGGAGCAGCAGCAACTAATGCTTCACTCCTGAGAGGGTTCGGGATTGTTTCTTCGGCGTCAGCTTCCAGCGGGCAGCAGGAGTGGAGTGGGAGGGGAATTGAGTCTGATAGTGCATCATTGGCAGCAGGCCTGGGACTTGGGCTGCCATGTGACGGTGGGTCTAGCTTGAAGGAACTGATGTTGGGGACTCCATCTGTATTCGGTCCCAAGCATACTACCCTTGACCTTCTTGGATTGGGGATGGCAGCTGGTGGAGGCCCATCAGGCGGATTTTCTGCCTTAATGACATCAATTGGTGGCGGCCTTGATGTTGCTGCTGCTGCAGCGGCAACATTTGGTGGCAGCGGCGAGTACTCTGGTAAAGATATGGGAAGGGGATCATGACAACAATTAGAACATTTGTTTTCATGAAAGTCAAGGCTTTCATAGTTGACATTTCGGAAGTGTGATTTGTGAGGTGGCATCGAGCTTTATTATCAATTAGTCTTGCAGCAGCAAATAGCGACTCTTGGCCCGGCGATGCTCCTTAAAAAATTAAGCATTACAGTATAGGCAGTGAGAGTGAGTCGGTTTTAATATTTGTTCTGCTGCCTGTCAAGGTTGAAGAGACCCTTTCCGTGAAATATAAGTAGCCAAAGGTCCTGAGACCTTTTAAACACTTTTGATTATATATGTAAGATGATGTTAAAATGGTGGCACTTTTGTGAGTATAATAGTAGAAGATAGGAGTAAAAGCAATCGGCCACAATGTTGGTGAATAGTCCAGTATTCGGTACGGTTACTGATAATCCAAGATCAGATTAGATTAATTACTACTGGTTTATTTATGACATCATACCCATGAGCTCCAATAATTTTTTCTTCTACACGGTTCAACCAGAAAACCGGGGAGTAATTATTTTTGTACATTGGGGGTGGAAGCATCAACATATTTCCATTACTTGCTAGAGACTACGAATAAGAAATTGCTTCTGCACTCCAAGCTTGAACTAGTATCTCATTTGTAGGACGGATAACTATTTTGACTCAACACTATATAGTCTTCTTGTGGATCGGGTGTAAAAAAAAAAAAAACGTAAGAGATAGCTAGGAGTAGAGCTGTTAATCGAGTCAAATTCGAGCACACGATAATCGAGTTTGACTCGAATCTCTAATTGAGCTAGTTCGAGTTTGCTCGATTAGTAATTCAAGTTTCACAAGCTGTTCGAGATCGACTCGGTATACTCGATCGAAAACTCGAGTTCGACCTCGAACTCGAATTTAAAATTGAGCCGAGTTTATTAAGTTCAAACGAGTCGAACTCGAGTTCAAAATCGAGCCGAGTTTATTAAGCTCAAGCTCGTTTGGGAGATGAATATTAGGGGCAAGACCGAAAGAGGAAAGAAAAAAGTAGGACTAGAAATGAGAGAATGAATTAGGTAAAAATATCAAATACACAATGAAATGATCTTACCATTCGAGCCTAAACGAGTCGAGCATAACTCGGCTCATCTATTAAATAAGCGTAAAGTTGAATTCGAGATCGGCTCCTTTCTCTCATTAAACTAACTGAGTTGAACCCCTTATCGAATCGGATCGAACTTGGCTCGCGAGCTATTCGGTTCGATTAACCGCTCTAGCTAGGAACGGTGAAATAGAAATGGGGGCCCTGATTAAAACAAATATGGTAATTTTGTGGTTGTTTTTGTGCAGAGCAGACGGATTGAGTAAAAGGAGTAATCAGGATGAGTGAGAGACATTATTGGCCTTCACAGAGCAGTAAAGTGGGGTTTAACTTTTGTACTTATTCCAGAATTCCGTGCCAAGTAGCACGGCCTCTATAGTATAGGGAACGTGTCACCCACTCTACTCTACTCCATGCGAACAATTCATGGCAAGCCAAAGCCTCCGCTTCTTCGTGCTTCTAACACGACGTGGCGTGTAAAAAACATTTATCTCGTACATCCACGGTAAAACTTTTACGTTTTACTGTAAACGTCAAGCGCCCTTGCTTGAATTGTGATTTTTTACAGAAAAAAAAAATATATATATATATAATATTTTTTAATTATTATTTTAAGTCATATATATTAAATCCAATCGTTACAATATTTTTCTTTATAAAAATTTTTAAAAATCACAATACAAACGGCACTACTGTTAAAACACACAATCACGCTGGTGCAGGATCAAACAATTGGAATTGCGTTACAGGTCACAGGGCCTGTTGTTATATTGCACAGTGATAGCATCTTGGTGCACGAGTTTTGCATGCACAAATAAGCCCCTAATGTCGTCCAAAAGTTGGGTTGGGGGACACAAAAGTCGGGAATTGTGGATGAACAACAAAAAGACAATTTTGCAAGCAGGGGATTAATAATGCACGTTTGTGTTCCAATTAGGGATGTAATCGAGTCAAGTCGAGCTCGAGTATCGCTATACTCGAGCTCGACTCGACTCATACACACAGAAGCTCGAGCTCGACTCGAGCTCGATCGAGCCCGAAAATCGATACTCGAAGATCGACTCGAAGAATTTCATTTAGGCTCGAGACTCGACTCGATAAGGCTCGATCTTTAATCGAGCCTTATCAAGTCGAGTCTTATCAAGCTTTTTGACTCGATTTGACCAAAAAACCAGATCAAAGGTGACGTTTTGGGAAGATTCAAAGGCAAGCAAGTAGCTATCAGCTGGAGTAAATGAGGCATAAAATCCATGATTCATCAATACAAATACAACCAAAAGTATCCACATTCTACCTCCCACAGTTAGCATCTTTAACACCCCTAAAAATCAGATTCACCACAAAGAAGAATAGAGAAGAAAAAAGGGAAATTCCCACTTGCTGGATTGCTTGACATGAAACTTTCAAATTCAGCAATTACCCACCAACGGTAGGTGCCCACAAGAGCAGAAAATATGGATGATTCTAATTCCTCGAATCATAGTTCCTAAGTGTGCTGCAAAAGTACCCAAACTAACCAAAATTCCCCACAAAATTTCAAAACTCAGCAAAACATGAGCTGAGCCACCAAATTGAGAGACAAACAATTATCTCAAACAAGCATGTGAGGTTGCTCAAATCCGAATTTGGGCAAATTCATCACACCTAGTTGGTCAAATCATAACACAAAGGATTTTGAAGTCAGTCTTAGCTATATTTTTGCACACCATTATCCTAAGTCTGATTTTTTTAAGAGCACAAATTAAAATTATTTACATAAATATTGCACGATTCCTAAATCTGCATCAGGTATTTGGCGCTTCTTGAGCGCCCACAGAATTGAAATACTTAGAAATCCGCAGATGCCTCATATGACGTATACTATTACTAGCAAATCTCTGGGTCTTTGATGGATTTCCGCCGAACCCACGGGCTCCTATCAGCGTTGGACTGATAGGAGCTGCTCCCCACGAGCACAGATACAAGAGATTTGTCTCTTTATTTCAAGTTCTCGTTTAGGCATTTCTTCAAACAGTAGAAGGGCATACGAAAATTCTAAAGATCCCATCAAATTCCAACGAAAGAAAGACCCAAAACTTGTAATCAAAATACGATTTCGGTCCAACAAAGGCCAAAGAGTATACTCAGCCATGAAAATTGTAAATAACTCCAGATTAAAAAAATTCAAGAAGAAACTAGCAAAAGATGGTTCCAGAAAATATCAAATTGAAATTCAAGTTGGAAAGCAAAGAATAGCTCACGGGGCGTTTTAAATGAAGAATTGGATAACCGTGGCGGTATGGGCAAACTCCGACGACCCAGCAGTGGCGGCTGCTCCTCCTCTGTTTCCCGTCGGTTCTTTTTTTTATTTTTTTATTTTTTTTGGCCGAGAGTAATAGGATAATGGCAGATGGATTGAAATCTCTGGGTCTCTGAGAGATTTCGTCCCCTTATCAATTCAGGATAACAAGTTTCCTAGTCGATCTTGGCCCATTTTAATGCCAGAGACACAGAGCCAAAAACAGAGGAGCACTTACCTAAGTGAGCCAGAGATGAGCAGTGATGAACCAGCGATGAACTAGTGAGATCTTGGTGCTTCGTCTTCGACACTCGGCAGCGATGAACCAGCACGGCAGGACACAGCCGACAGGAGACGTAGAGCGCGGCGGACTGGCGGAGGCCGGAGAGGCAGAGAGCAGCTTCGATTTCGGACTTGGGACTTGGGACTTGTTAAGGCGATGGCGATGGCGATGGCGATGGCGATGGAGATGGAGTCTCACAGATGCGGCGAGCAACGGCGTCGGCGACGAACGGAGTGAGGGTGTAGATCTAAATCAGTCAGAGTCAGTGGCTGCCGGCTGGTAAAGTGAATTTTTTTGCTAGGCTTTCTTCGAACGGAGAAGAAAGTCGCACAGAGAAGGAAGAAAGTCTTTTCTTCCTTTTTTTTGTAGACATTTTTTCTTTTTAGTGTTTTTTATAATTATGTTATTATTTTTTTGCCATTATAGGATTTTATTATAAAGAAGGGTATATTGTAAATTCTATAAAATCTATATCCATAATAGTCATTTTATAATTATAATAAATATATATTATTTAAATTATAAATATTTAACGCGGCTCGTCGAGCTACTCGACGAGCCACGAGCCCGAAAAATGAGACTCGAAACTCGACTCGATGTGGAGTCGAGCTACTCGAAACAACTCGAGTTCGAGTCGAGTTGTTGACCGAGCTACTCGCGAGCTACTCGCGAGTAGCTCGGCTCACTAACATCTCTAGTTCCAATTTTGCGCTCTCCCTGGTCCCTATAATAATATACTTGCTGTATTTTAGACAATTCACACACTGCCTCTTAATTCTTTTTTTTTTTTTCAAAAATTACTATCAATTTTTATGAGTGTCAAAGTGTTAAAAGGTCATCTTCTTCCAGTGTTATAAACTATGCTGTGATACATTAATCAAAATAAAACTTGATAGGACAAAATTGACATGATTTCTTATTAAAAAGGGACTAAAAAACTACGCCTTATTTGGATTGTGATTTTTTGTAAATATTTTTATATACCTATTTTTTAATTACTTTTTTTTTTTATCTTACGTACACGCTACACTAATATTTCCCAAAAAACTCACCAATATAAATCCAAACGCCAATTTCCGCTTCATTCTGAGCCACCGCTTCGTTTTTGTCCGTTTTTCAGTTTTTTGGGCTGGTGGGCGTCAAACTTAGAAATTTGAGACTGACTGCGATATTAGCCCCCATTAAGCGGTGGACTTCGGCTGTTCTTCTCTCCAACGATAATTTTGTCCCCAGACAGCATTCTCGATCCGCCCCTAGTCAAGCCCGAATTGCCGAAATCCCGGGTTCCCCATGCCTTCCTTTTTCCCTTGTATCTTTCTTTTCATCTTGCGAAAGTAGAAGAAAAGGAAAAACGAATGAATCTTTTTATAATGCAATTGTTTTTGTAATCAGGTAGCAGGAAATTGCTGCTTGGGCAGGCAAAGTTATCGTTGAGTAGGATGTGAAGTTTCTCAGGATTAAAGGGGATTGGCTCACAATGCAGACTTGCTAAGTTTGGAGTTCATCTAATGGACGAATTGGGTTGAGCTGAGGGGGAATAGGATATGTCATCAGGGTTGCTTCCCAAACCGAATTCTGCCTTTTGTTTTGGGGTTCAGAGAGGTTTAAGAGTGAAACTAGCACCAACCCACAAGTTAATAGAATCTTTGACAGTAAAAAGAAGTCAGAAATTTGGGGCTTGTTATACTTACAGTAGAACCAAGCATTCTGCCGTTGAGGCATTTTCTCAGACACGTGGTGGTGGTGGTGTTCTATCGCGCCCGTCTTCTCAAGCTTTTGGGAATTTTAGTGGAGCCATGGCTGTTTCTAGTTCAACGGCTGCCCCTGGAGACCTTGTTATGGATACTTTTATCTCTGGTTGTGGGAATGTTTCGAGTTTTGCTAAACCTGTTGTGATGTATTTTGGCAATAGAGGTCTCGATAATTGTCAAAAAGCTAGTCTGAGTTTGAGAAATGGGGTAACCAATAGCCGCTGCACTGATCGTGCTTTTTCTGTGCTTGGAGGTAGATGGAAATGTCGCAGCTCGAATGCCCTTGTTGGGTCGTGGTTTAGAAGCTGCAGTTCCTCATCATCACCATGTTGTTCGACTGGGGCTGCATCTGATGTACTCTGCAACGGAACCTCATTCGACGAACAGCTATCAAGTCTTGCCATACCACCAGACCAGTAAATGCTCTAACCTTTTGTGTTGTCTTATCAAGTTGTTTCCATCTATTTGTTAATTTAGAAACAAAAAAATTTTCTTGTATGCAGTTTCTTTATTATGTGCAATGGTTCAAAATTGATTATAGTTAAATACATTTGTTAATCCAGAAGGTAGTTGTTCCCTGAAGATTTTTTGGTGCGTTCATTTAACTTCAAATTTAGCCAAGGTGTTGTATTAAATAAAACCAGATGGCCAGTCGTGTATGGTCCCGATGTATTGACCTTAAAATTAGTTTGGATATTCAACAATAATCCAGGTCCTATATTCCAACAGTCAAGATCGTATTTGGTGACCCTTCAACATTAGCAGTTTGTCTGTCAGACAGAGAATTCTTTAGTTGAGCTTAGCTTGTCAGCAAGCCGGAACTTAATAAAAAAATAATGTGATCCTCGACTCAGTGTTTACAGGATTTTTTATATTTATGCTTCTTCCAACTCATATAACTCATGGAAATTCAAGGACGATGAAAGTGGTGACTTGTGAAAAGACATAGTTGTCGAACTTGGGTGTCCATCGTTTCTCAAAATGGAATGGATTTTTCTCCTCTTTTGTATGGTTTCTGATTTTTAGCGTGTTTTAAAGGGAAACTTTCTCTCTGATTGCTAAAGAACATTGTCTTTCGTCATGGTGTTGAAAAGTCAAAGATTTGCATATTCACATATTGTGGCTATTGTAGAGATTCGTTATTCTGGTTTGAGTATCAAATATTTACGTTTTTTAATCAAAACAAGGTATTGCTTGAATTTTGTCTTTTTACTTACTAGGTAAATAAATCTTAGCAGTGAGTCGTTGCGTCAAAGATGATCATTTCCTGCTTCAATTTTCTACTGAATGGGTTTTTCAATTTAAGTTTATTAGAGATGCACAGTTCTATGTTTGTGGGAGTCGCATTGAGCATTAATAAGTTTGGCGATATAGTATTGTGATTTTCCTTAATGTTGGTTGGCTACTACTGCTGAATCCAGAAGATCTCTAAGCAACAGAACACTGAAGCTACACTCTGGATCATGCTACCTACCCCATCCTGATAAAGAAAAAACAGGTGGAGAGGATGCTCATTTCATCTGTTCGGATGAGCAAGCAATTGGTGTGGCAGATGGAGTTGGTGGTTGGGCGGAGGTTGGGATTAATGCTGGAGAATATGCTTGTGAACTCATGTCTAACTCGATGGATGCTATTAAAAATGAGCCCGGGGAGTTTATTGATCCCGCTCGCGTATTGGAGAAAGCACACTCGGAAACAAATGCTGTGGGTTCCTCAACAGCCTGCATCATTGTGCTAAAAGACCAGGTCTTACTAACTTCATACCAAAAATATTTGTCCATGCACACATATTCTTCTTGTACTACGTCTTTTGAAAATATTGCTCCAACTTGCATGCAACAAAATGGCTGTAGTAACATTTTCAACTTGGATGTGACCACTTTTGATTGGTGATTTGTAGATGAATGTATTTGTTGGGGTTCATTAGAGGGGAATTATCCTGATGTTTTGGCAAATTTAGGCAGAATATGTCATTCTTGGTGTGTTTTTTTTTCCTGTTCTAAGTGTAGAAAGCGTAAAACCGTGAAGTACATTTATGTGGTGTTTATGGATGACGACTCGTGTTATATTTGTAAAAGACATGCACAGAGCCATGCACATAGAGGAGGCAAAGATGGGAAATTCTGTTTTATCTTTCCTATAAGATGGAGGCGATGACGGTTTGGCACTGGTACTTTTTGCTGCAAGAGACCAAACCTCATATCTGAGTAGAAAGGAGATTCTCTCTGAGGACCACTAGAATATTGGAGGTTGCAGAAAATAACTGTAAAGGCGAAGGTTATGCTATTGTACTTGAGTAAAAGTGAAAGAACACTGTGCCATTAGTTTGCCTAACTACACTTAATCTCCTGATTTTCTTCATTCTTTCTTTGGATGCCTTTTGGTAGATTAGTGTTTGTTCAATTCTTCAGACCTACTCTTGCATATTGGATTGGTTTGGCTGTCACATTACAGCCTAAAGCGATCATGAAAAAGCCAATGATTCTTTAAGACACTAGTTTGTTGTACTGGAGGTTGCATAGACTTCAAATTTTTTCCCTCTTTGAACTTGAGAAGAGTTTTGATGCCTCTGATGGTCATCTGTGCATATTTGTTCTCTTCCACAGTTTCTGCATGCCATAAATCTTGGAGACAGTGGATTTATTGTGGTCAGAGATGGCAGCACCACCTTTGAGTCTCCAGTCCAGCAGCATGGATTCAATTTTCCCTATCAACTGGAAAGAGGAAATAAGGGTGACCTTCCAAGTTCCGGTCAGGTAATTTAGTGGAACACTCCTTACTGATCTTTTGTGCAAGTGAATTTGTATACATGGTGCTTTTATAATCAAGAATGTCTCGAGAAGAATATCATCTCAATTGTTCACGCTAATAGTGTTTCACCGACAGGAGTCCTCCTAAATGAGATTTAAATATTTTGGCCAGGTTTTCAAGATTTCAGTTTTACCGGGAGATGTCATTGTTGCCGGAACAGATGGGCTATTTGATAACTTGTATAAACGTGAAATAACTACAATTGTTGGTGCAGCAGTGACATCGGGTTTCACCCCTGAGTTGACAGCACAAAAAGTTGCAGCTTTGGCGCGCCACCGAGCGCAGGACAGGGAAAGGCAAACTCCATTTTCTACTGCAGCACAAGAGATTGGATTCTCTTATTATGGTGGAAAACTTGATGACATTACGGTGGTTGTTTCGTATGTCTCTGACTTGTCAGGCTCGACTGAAACATAGATTTTACAATTCTTACATTTGACTTTATACAGTCCTTTCCTCATTCTGGCCTTTGAATACGTGGTGTTTATTCTCTTTACAAAGCTTTCGAGATTTTCCAGATTTCCTCACCCCCTTTCTCCCTCTTCTTTTGCAAATTTGATACTAAATTTGATACGTATGAAGGTGTTCCGTTACAGTTGTAAGATATGGATAGTAGTTTCCTAGCTTTTTGAGCTGCCGTTGAACCCAGAGGTCGTCCCTGATATCTAATTGAGTATTAATAGTCTGAGAATGTTTACAAAATCATTTCTGCGTGCTATTGTAGCTTGAAAATGCTTTCTGTGGGGGTATTCAAGCGTTGTCCTTTTTTTTTTTTTTCATCTTTTTGGGCTATTTGAGGACCCGTTTACGTCGTCCATTGTTCATTGTGAGACATATTCCTCTCTTGCAATCCATCAAAAAGTAAGAAAAGTAGGTATGGAAAACTCCTTTATTGCTCGAGTTTAGGATTCCTGTCCATGATGTGAGAAAACCTGGCTGAGTTTTGGCTCTTGCTCAAGCAGTTCTAAGATAGATCAATCGCAGGAATTAATTGGAGTCATTCATTCGTAGGAATTCAATAAGCTGGCTTTTAAAGGACTTCACCATGCGCTAATGGAGCTCTCAACTGAAGGTATTTCACAAGCAAACACAAAATAAAGCAAAGACTGAAACAAAACTGCTTATTCAGCTTTATGCTCACTGGAAACGTCTACTTTTGAGCATTACTAGACACAGTCAAGAAGCATTTTTAAGGATTCTTCTTCCCCATCCTTGGCCATTGCCCTGCTCCTCCTCTTGTCCCATTTCTTTTTCTTGTTGCTTTGCAGTTTCCTCCTCCTGCCTGGCTCCTACTCCTCCTCTTCCGTCTTCCTCCGGCGGCCGTGCTTCCCTGCCCCCTTCGTGTGGGCGCCCTCCTTCTCCCTGGCCAGCTTCTTCTTGTCTTCTTTGTGCTGCTTCTTCTTCCTCTCGCTTAGCTGCTTCCCTTTCTTTCTCTTCCATCTGTGCTGCTTCTTGTTCTCTTTCCTCTTGTTCCCTCCTTTCTCGTGCTGCCTCTTCCTCTCTCTTTCTCCGTGCCGCCTCTTCCTCTTCTTCTTGCTCTCTCTTCTTCCTTTCCTCCTCTGCTCTCTCCCTAGCTGCCTCCTCCTCTTCTCTCGTCTCAGCTTCCTCTTCCTGTCTTTTCCTCTCTTCATCCCTCTTCCTTGCCTCCTCTTCCCTCTGCCTTGCCTCCTCTCTTTCCCTCTCAATCTCTTCCTCCATTATCCTCCATTCTTCCTCTGCGCAGGAGGTGCATTCTAAGATAACCGATTCGCGTTGTTGATTCACAAGCCTGTCGAAGGTAGTTTCATTTATTCCAAATGATGCTGCCAGGATGTGCTTGTCCAAAGTCCTGAGGACTGATGCCTTCCCTGCTAGATACTGTGGGTGATTGTTCTCCGTTGATGTACTGAAACCAACGAAAACGAGCGTTTCGTTGTTGAAAGCCATCTGCGCCATGGGATGGAACCTCTGCACGGCGAAAATGTCGCCTTCTTCAACCCCAAACCTCGCGTTTTTGCACTCTGCTTTGTTCGGTAGACTTGGGCAAACTACCCGAACCATCCCCTTCCCTTGCAGTACTACTGCTATCTCCGTTGCCTCGGGATTCCAGTGAGGACCCATCATTCCTCCCTAGAAAAAAAAAAAAAAGTAAAATAAAGCCCATCAGCAATCACCTATTTACTAATGGCTACTACGTTACTAGCACAGACCCAGAACAGAGTGGGAAAATTTTGTATGGTAAGTAGCACATTCTTGCATATTGCTAACTGCAAGCTACAAATTTCAGGCAAACTCAGATTAAAAACTCACGCGGGTCAAGTTCACCATGAAAAGGCCATATTTGGAGCCCTTCAGGACGGAATACTTTTTCCGGGTAACTGTTGTGCTCCACCCGTTGCAATTCTCAAAATCTGGTTTTTCTTGGAATATGTTGAATTTTTTGGACTTCTTCTTGTCTTTGTTGCTGGTTTCGAAAATGCTGAAAATACTTGTGCTTCCAAACACGGCTTCGATGAACTGATACTCCCTCTCCCGTATGGTTTTTTCCTGAGTGCCCGGCAATCCACGAACTATTGCTTCCGGCTTCCTTCCGCTTGTCATTTCCTCTATCACTTCTTCAGGAACCTTGAGTACCATTTTGCACCAGGGGTTACAACCCAAAATGAGGGATTTCAAGAAACAGTCCTGTCTCTCTTTACTCTTTTTACCACATGCTAGATTAGATAACATACCTTGAAGGTCTCCTGGAGAATTTTCTTATCAAATCCAAGAACCAAGTCGCGAACGCTCGAGTATGGTCCGTATTCAGTCGGTTCCTAAGATCAAGAAGTTTAGATAGTGCAATATTCATGGTCATGGTCACTCACGTATGAAAACTGAAGGCATCCATTGTCAATTGACAAAATCAGTGAAATGACAAAAATAGTGCTCTTAGTCTCTTACTCTCAAGTCCTCCCCTGCATTGCCAAATATGGCATAAATTCTTAGCTTCTGTCTCTCCAGACCTACGTCGCTCTGTATGAAGAAAACGCTTCCTGATCCCAGACGAAAAACATCTCCTCGTCTTATGGTCGTATTCTCTCTTTTATTTTCATCTCTGTAGCTCAGATTTCCGCTCCCTGTACACAAACAGCAGGATGAACTCCGCAAAATTTGACAAAATTCAATGATTAAGACAAGTCACTACTGGTGATTTCTTGTTCTTGATAATATAGACACTATCAGACTAATTAGATACAGCTGAATTCAAGGAATTGAAGGTTCAGCCCGAGTCCAAGCACCTTTAAACAAAAATAATAATAATAAAATTACCTGTATGAACGTAGAACACCATGTCTTGATGCAGCATAACAGGCAGAAACAAGGAGTTGGGCTCCAAGGTGATGAGGTGAATATTAAAAGTCTCGTTTCCATCGCTAACTCTAACTCCCGAGACCTCTCCAAATCCAGTTGAGATTATTGGCTGCCTTTCGCCTTTCTTTACTAAATGTCCTGCTCCGGGGACAGTCTGACCATCTTCCCCAGCGGTAGCATGCACGCAGAGAAATAAGCATAAACCAAAGCCTAAGAGCGAAATTGAAGATGCTGACAACAATTTTTCGGTGGACATTTTTGAAATTTTTGGACTAATGAGAAGTGAAGAAAGGAGCTGGTCAGAACCGGTGGTTTTATAGGGGAGGGGGAGGGGGAATTGGAAACAGGGATTAGAGAAGCGACGTGGCTTTTGCATGGACACGGGGCAATTTGAAGGTGCCACGAGGCAGCTGTTCGTGTTGAACATGTTGAAACATTCATGCAAAAATGCATGAGACCTTAGCCGTAGCTGGGTGGTTTTTATTCAAACTTGTCTTCAGGCGAGAGCGCCGATTTTGAGTAGGCTAATGATGCAATGATCTTGAACTTTTCTATGCAATGGTCAATTCATGACCATTGTAGATAATGGGGTATTTCTATTAAAATTAAAAAAAAAAAAAAAGGGCCATACTTCCATTTCCATTCTTTCGAGGTATATTACAAAGAGCAACCTGCAAAATGGGGGCTGCGTTCTATTTTTACAGAAAAATTAATAATCATCCGTCCTGAAAACTCAATTTGGGTGGCAGGAACATAAGTTATGTGATTCTGAGATTTTTTTTATTTGACTCTCTTTTCTTTCTCCTTTCCCTTCTAAGATTTGTGAAATCCCCCAGCTGCTCATGAACCTACAAATTGGAAGGGCAAAGTTTTGAAATTTCAAACACATTTAAGGGTATCTGCATAACATGGATATAAATGCTAATGCAGCACTTCACTGCTGGATTCTCTTCATTGTCATTTGCACATTATTTCCGTAAATTTGCTGATAAGTTGACTACGAGATGAAAGTCAAAGGCAAGAATGGAGCTGAAATAATTAGTTTTGCATTCCTCTATGATTCACAAAATGTTATACTCTGATAAAGTTACGAAAGATATTAGATCAGTTTATGCAGAAATACAAGTAGATGATGATTTGGTCAATTTTATGATATTGCTACGCGCGTGCGTGATTAAGAAATTGGAAAGGCTACTCAGCTCCTAGATATATACCATACTGAAATACGAGTCCTAGGAGTCGTCTGCCATGCAGAACAATACCACACCCCCAAATGCCACCAACCTTCTCTGTGTGAAAAATCGGCAATTGTACATAGAAATAAACACTAATTACTTCAGCAATGCAAATCTGATTAACAACAAAAGCTGAATATTGAGTTTGAATTACATCCCTTTCAAGCCTATGCTCATCTCTTTTCTTTGATTGTGACTTCATTTTTATATTCCCTGGCTCTAGCTTCTGGTTTCTCTGGTCGATCTTTCCCTTCCCCTGATTCTTCTTCTGGTTTTTCAGTTCCTTCTCCAGCTTCTACTTCTGCTTCTGGGGTCTCTGGTTCCGTCTGTTTTGCCTTTTCTATTTCCTCCTCCATCATCCTTAATTCTTCCTCTGCACACAAATTACAATCCAAGACTACGGAGTCCCTCTGTGAAGCCATAACCATGTCTGCTATTGTTTCATTAACACCCAGTGATGCTGCCAATATACGTTTGCCTAAGGTCTTGAAAATGGAAGTTTTACCAACCAGATATTGATGGCTAATTTTCTTTCTTGTGGTACTAAATCTCATGAAAACAAATGTTTCATCACTGAAAGACATTTGAGCTGTAGGATGGAACCTTGGCACGACAAACACATCACCTTCTCCCACTTGAAACCTCATGTTTTTGCATTCATTTTGTTTAGCAAAAATGCTAGAACAAACCACTAGAACAATTCCTTTTCCTTGTAAAACAATTACTATCTCAGTCGCCATTTGATTCCAGTGCGGCGCCACCATCGATCCCTGGAATTTTCCATTTTGTCAGATAAACATTCGAGTCAATCATCATATGTGTCAATTGTTGATGATTTAAATAATTAGTTATTTGAGGCATTGCAGCATAATGCAGGGAGCCAATTAAGAGCTAACTGACTGTAGCCACGCTTACTCTGGTCAAATTTGTTACGGAAACACCAAAGTTGGAACCTTTGAAACCTTTGAAATCTGGGAGCTTTTTCTTGTTTGATGTTGTTCTCCACCCATTATGGTTCCCACAATCTCGTTCTAAGCCAAGCATGTTGAGGAGGTTGGGCCCCGTGCTTCTTGTTAATTCTTTAATGAAACGAGCTTCCAAATCCCATAATTTTTCCATTGTTCCCGAGACGCTGGAAACAATGGCCGGTGGGTTCGGTTTATTCATTATCTCTTTAATCACATCTTCAGGCACCTTCAAACACAATTTTGCATCACTAAATTCATTTAACAAGATCGAAGCCCTTAATCCAAACCGCATACTGTCTCTTTTCCTAAATCAAGCCAAACATGCTAGTTAACTGGGAAGGAGGCAATTACACCCACTAAATAAACCCAAATTCTGATGTACCTTGAAGGTTAGTTGCAGAATCATTTTATCAAAGCCGAGGATCAGGTGGCGGAAACTAGAGTATGGTGCTGTCGTTGCCGGTCCCTATGGAAACCCAACTGAAGAGTTACAAATTAGTATAAGATAAAAGAAACAAATTCAGGGGCGTTGAAAGTTCTTACGCGGAAATGTTCCCTCAAATTACCAAAGATAGCGTAAACTCTTAGTTCGTCCACACAGTGGATGGCCTCCATGAAGAAAATAGTCCCTGGATTGAGTTCCAAAGTATCTCCTTGTCTCAACGTCTTTGTCAGCATGCGGCCCGCTTCGGTAGTGTAACTCAGCTTCCCAGAACCTGCAACACTCTCATATTTCATGGCAAAGTTTTAGGCCACGACTTCAACATTGTGGGGAAAAAGAGAAATTCTGAATTCATGGCCTGATGAATCTGAATCACCACATCCCATGTTTCACACACCAATATATAGTAACTTAATAATGCACCAAAAATTAGCAATAGTACGAGTCCTTTTAAAGACCGCAACATACAATGAAGATTTAATTGGATAAACTCTAGGCTCTTGTTTTGCTTACCTGTTTGCGCATAGAAAACCATATTTGCATGTAATACAACGGGGAGGAAAAGAGCAAATGGCTTCAAGGTGATGAACTGAAGGTGATACGACAAATCCGTCCGCTCTCTAACACTAACCCCTGATATCTCTCCATATTCACTCGAAGAAATTAGCTTCCGTTCATCTTTCTTCTTCACCAAAGATCCCAAATAGGATTCACTCTCCTCATCGGAAGCAGCTCCCACATTTATACAGGTGAAACATAAAACTAAGATTAAGCATATGAAGAACGAAAATGGCGAGATCATAAAAATTTTCTGAGACATTTTCTGAGCAAGATGACGAAAGTGTAAGCTTGGAAGAGGTGGCGTTGAATGAATAAAAAGGGGGGACATGACGAAGAAGGCGACAAATCTACGTGGCTTCGCCATTCAGACGTGCATGCTGGAGGGGGTGAAAGCTCCATAAAATGATGACCGACGAGGTTTCTTGGCACCTTCACAGTCTCGCAGCTTCCGTTTCTCTTGGTTTGTGTCTGTGTACGGACGCTGTCGCGCTAGCAGTCTCTTTTGGGTCTAAGTAACTTCATTCAGCTGGATAAGAAGACAAAATGAATGCCTCTATCCGGCCCAAAGGAAGATTTACTTACGTTGGTTTTTGGACTTCATTGCATCAACGGTCCGCGAATTTAGTTGGGTTGCTTCCATTGTGCAACCGCCACCACTGATGCACAGCCTTCCCTCCGTATCTGCAATCAAAAATGTTACAATTTGGGCTTCAGCCCCATTACAGCTAGAAAACTCGCTGCCATTAATGACCCAGTTCAAATTTTATTTCCACAGGCACGGAAATGAATACCCAAGTTCCTTTTCTCAATTTTCTCAACTCCGGCGAAGAGAGGCGTCTCTCAAGACGACATAGAGGTCACGAATTTAAATTTTCTTTTCCCTCTCATCTTCTTAAATTTCATTCTTTTTTTTTTTGAGCCAAAAAAAAAAAAACTCCAAGAAACAATTTGGTCATAAAGTAGGTGATTTTGCCATTTCAATGTGGAAATAAAATTAGATTGTGACGATACCATTTGCCAGAAAATTCAAGCAAATTAATTGATCAAGATGATTTACGGATAAAATAGCCAAATTTTGACAGGAAAGCGTGTTTACAATTGCCCAGCCCAGCCTAGCCTGAATCACATCCCTTCGTGTTTCCTCGAGCAAAAAGGATCCAAAGAGCATCATATATCATGACATTTATGGTGGCTACGTTTTAGGGTTTTGCGGAATACCATTGAAAATATGCCGAGCCAATTATTTGAAGGTGGGGACTTATAAATATGCATTGATTTGCACCATTCAAGTGCAAGTTGAGGGGGAAGAGAGATGCCAAACGCCACATGTGAAATATGATGGAATCGCTGCCCATAAACTACAAATTAACGATCATAGTGGTCACAGCTCGGAAAGAAAGAAAGAAAACTATTTGAATCAAAGGTATTTTCAAAGTGAAATTAACATATCCGGAGAATCGATGATCATATATTCGTATCAGTAGAGCAGTATTATACTACTAGTAGTAGTAGTACCATCTGGTATATATAAGCGATTGGACCACCATCACTCGTTTCGCTCGTAACCATGCATAAAAAAAAAAAAAAAAAAAAAAAAAAGCAAGCGTATGGCGCTGGTTCCATGCATGGTGCTTGCTTATTGGAAGGACAGCAGGGATAGAAGAAGGAGATGGATAGATACCCTAATGTCATGGCCAATCCACCTCCACTCCGCTGTTTCAACTCTTTTTGGCTAGCTTTGCCCCCTTTTTCTTTATTTTTATTTTTTTTATTTTTTATTTTTTTTAAAAAAAAATTTTTTATTTTCTTTTGTGTGGGAGTTGGCTAAATGGTGGTGAGTGACAATAATTAATCTTTACATGAATGGTGCCGATCAGAATCTCAACCCAACCATCTTTTGTGACCTACAAGGCTCCGTTCCTCCTTTCTTTTCCACCGCGTGTGTCCCGTGTACTTGTTAGAAACTTAGCTCCTAAGTACTTGACTTTGGTCGTATTATTGGAGGGCATTTGTATTCTTTGTGTCTCCCATATGGTGGATTAATTTCGAGTTTTCTTGACCAACAACAGATTTGGCAAGTGATCTTGAATGAGCGGAAACATTTTTGAAGGAAGTTCCTAGCTAGACGCTCAATTCTGACATGATGATGATCAATCATTTAGCGAATGCACCAACACCAAAAAAAAAAAAATTTGTCAGAATATATAGGTTTAATTATTATGTTATCAGCTTTAAAGCCAGCCATTAATATTTGGTTGAAGAAAGGAAAAAAAGATGTGATTTCTGATTGCAATCATTTGGCTGTGAATAACATATAACATGCAATGGGGTGGGGGTGGGGTGGGGTGGGGTGGGGTTTCCTTGCTAATTATCAGTTAACTTGAGAGGAGAATATTGCTATCGGGTAGCTGCCATTACGTCATAGTTATAAAGTTGGTGTAATTTTTGACATATATTCCAAATGATAGATGCTTAAATCACTATCACAATGAAATGTCGCATTGCTTCTTTCTTTCGTAACTTTGTGCAGCAATAGCATGTCCTATAGCAATAGCAGGCCAAGCTGCAGTTTCCAAGTCCATCGATCCTCAACATTTTGGCTCTTCAATCTGCTGCTTATTCGAATATGAAAACTGCATGTATGTACCCGCAGAAAATTCTCCACACTTCACCTTCAAATAAAAGAGTGATTAGTAAGAACTAGCATTTCCCCAACCAACAGGAATGCATATGTAATACTAGCAAACTCCTGAGTCCTGCCCCCGCCCTCCCAAATCAAAAAAAAAAATTTTAAAAAAAAAAATTAAAACAAAGAGGAGGAGGAGGAGGAAGAAGAAGAAGCCCAAAACAAGTAGCAAATTGTTCGTGCACACAGTCCTTTGAATGTGCTCAAAATGTTGGTGCCGTTTCAAACTAAAGAAACTGCGCGCAGAAAGGCTACGGTTTGACCTTCTTCTTGATAAGGACACCAGAGGTCTGGAGGATTTGAGTTATCAGAATCAAAATCATAATCGCAAGTTCTACTTTATCTTTATGCTATTAAATTTTTTTTTTCTGGAACATCTCGCGGTCCATTTAATTTTTGTCGTAACTAAAACTTGTGACCGATGATTCTGGTAACTAAAAACACATACATATATAGATGCATTAATTATTAAGCTATTAAACATAACATATACAGACCCAAAAAAAAAAAAAGAGAGAGAGAAGAGAAAAACATATAGAGTATGTGCTGTTGTCTTCTTGAGCTGGCTGGCTTTCGGCAATTGTTTGTAGGTAGGCCAATGTATGAAGCAACTGGAAAAGGGGTTAGCTAGTTGTTTCTGGGTGACACAGAAAGGTAATTATTGGAAGAAAAGTTGAGCATGATAATCTTCAAAGCTAGCTTGTGTTATAATTCTTAATTATATACTCTAATAACATCAGTGTTCACACTTCAAATCAACGATATTCTATTAATATATTGAAAGTAAAATCTGAAAGATGAGATGGCAAGAATTGCTAATGAAACACATTGGTTTGATTAAGACAAGACAACTTTTTAAATATTGCAGCATATACTACAATTTTTTTTTGGCCTTTACGCAATTTTAAAACAATTTCTACTTGTTAAAGAAAGACCTCTAACCATCTTTTGTTCATGCGTGCTTTTCCACTAAAGTTCAAAGCAAAAACGAAGGTCCAGATATAGTTAGGAGGAGGAAGAGTCATGGGTGGGGTGTGTTTGTTAATTGCATTATAACCAGCAGAACATATTCCCTGTCTTAGCCGCCAGATTTAGTTGCTTTCCACATCCCCTTTGGGCAATTTGATCAGGATTTCTTCTGAGCAGAGTAATTGCAGGGGAAGAAGTGAGAAGTTGAGGGGCCGGATTACAATCATATATAGAACATATACGCGATGGATCAGCATGGCATTGCAGACAAAAGAAGCAAATGGGTCCAATTTGGTAGGGTCAGGTGAGGCCAATCAGGTCAATGTTTAGTCTCTGTCATGGGGAGAGGTCATCTTTTCTTGAATTATGTCAAAAGGAATATATCAGAAGAAGCTTAGCTTTCCTCATAAATGGCTTTTTTTCAGGTTTTGGAATATAGGTACCTCCTCCTCCATCAAGAGGATTGAGTGAGTATGTCTGCATAATTGCGTCTGATCGTCTCACACACACACAAATTCTTAGATGCTAAATGTCCAGTATCATCCAACGATCTACGTTTGATCTCCCGAATCTTGATCTTTTCTTCTCTGAATCCTACGACACTTCAAAATGGTTCCATTCCCCAAAGCCACTTCTTTTTAATTTACCTGAGCAATCGGTGAATCACGAACACACTTTCAGGCATTAATTAACAAATTTGACCGGAGGTGTGCTTCTCCTGTTTTTGCTCATGCTACCGACTCTTTATTCTCCGCGCCCATCATTTATTAACCTTGACCTGATAGCATGCATGCGATTCACAAAAGAACGCATGCATGCAAGATCCTCCTGCAGTTGTTTTAAGAAATTAATGAGGAAAGATTTGTTCTTGTTCTAGAGAAAGGCAAGGATGATCTCACGGATCATCTCAAGTCTGAGGTAAGTAGTCTACATTAAATTTCCAAAAAAAAAAAAAAAAAATTAGTGATAGCCACTAGGATCTCTGCATGTGTCCGGAGTCACTAGGAAATAGAATTTCGATCGGCATGGAATCAAAGACAACTCACCGTCAAAAAGAAATGGAAAGCCAGCGCAAAGAAAAAGTGTTCAGACTTTTGATTAATTACTAGTAAAGTTCAAATTCTGTTCCATTCCACATCCCCCAAATCTTTGGCTTTGTAAATGGACGTTGTATTCTATCCTAAACTAGTAAAAATAATATATAGTGATCAATAATGAACTAGTTTGCATTGTATACCAAATTCTTAAGTTCCGACAAATAGGATAGTAGCATTTTCTTTTGCTATTAGAAGTCGATGAGAGGTGAAAAACAGAGCGTCTAAAAGAGCATAATCGATACCTTGTAACGGTGAATTGCTTGTGGAGCGAGTAATCTGCATTATACAATGTATATTTTGTCTCTTTTTTTTTTTTTTTGGCTACAATAACATTCCTATAATTTAATCTGTTTTATTCTAAAAAAGGGAAAATTTAAAGAAGGATTCCAATAACGCAATCTATTTTGTTTTACAAGAAGAGGAAGTTTAAAGAAATTATCTACAGGGAAGGAAAAGCTTTTTTTAAAGAAACTATCTACAGGTAGTAAGGAAAGTCTAAAAAAATTGCTGTATCAGGGACTATATAGATCGGGCTAGACCAAAGTTTTAAATGATACCGAAATTTTTTTAACCATAAGTAGGATTCAAACCTTGATCTGCAGTTCAAAAAGGGATGTAATTCCTTTCTGGTAATCACAGAGCTAAAGCTGGGGGTGGTTCGCATTGTACAATGTATGGTTAGGCAACCTTTGGGGTGCGGGGGATTGGGTCAAGTCATGGGGTTGGACTTTTCAGGCAGGGTTTCTTCCAGTCCAGAGGTTCCCACTGCCCATAATGCAATTAGTCTGCGTAAGTTGTAAGTTGGCACGGAGGCTGCAGGTAAAGTTTATAATTTTTGGGCGGTGGTCTCTGTGATTTGCTTCCGCTAACACTACTACTTTTGATTGAGTTTTTGAGTGCGGAACCTTCGTTAGGCACTGGAGTGGGACTTCCAAAGTGGAGTCTCAAGTCACAACTGCAGAGCAGACTTTTTCCGCAAACATCTTGACTTATAAGTCCTCTTCTGTTGAATAGTCTTTCACCTGGAAATAACAGTCAGTGATTACTGTAAAATTAGACAAATTAAAAGCCAAATAGAATAGACAACCCTATTATATTATTTTCTCCACAACCCAAAAAAAAAAAAGGAAAGAAAAGAGTGAGAATAGTGAATTACCCTCGCAGAAAGTAAGGAGAAGTGTGCAAGATGCGGTCACTGGCCACTGGGAGACATTCAGGATCCTCAAAAGTCCAAAAAGGACTAAGAAGAAGGTCAGCTAAACGATGAACAAAACCAACAATTTCGAGAATTGGCTTCTGGATTCAATTGTCTCTGGCTAGCTATGTGCATCACCCTTGTTTATTAGCACTTTATTAAACAAAAACGAAGCAGCTGCTAGTTCATCTTAAATAGTTTCGGAATTCCATCGTTGTACAATGCTCTTTAGAGAAGTCAAAAACGCCAACAATAAATCAACAACTCAAGTTCTTCTTGTTCTTTTTTAGCAATTTTCGCAGCCCATTTCAGCTCCCATATGCCAGACCATCAATACAGCCGGACCTCCACTAAAACATATGCCTTTCTCGAATTGACAGGATGGAAGCCAGAAACAGAAAGAGCCATCAACTCTTCCTTTTCAGTTGTTTTTCCTTCCGTGGAGTATACACAACCACTGGTTCTAAATACTACTACTAGTAGTGTAATGCAAAGGCGTGACAGCCCTTTCTACGTCAAGAAAATACTAGTAAATGACATTGCACCACAAGAAAGGCCTATTGCCAGAGCCAGAAACCATAAAGATAAGTTAGAAAGCAAAAGTAGAGGAAAAACCAAGTTAAAATCTGAACGCCGAGAATCAAAAAAAGGTTACTCATCACCTCCTCAACTTCAAAAGAGTATACAATGGCTTTGGAGGCTTGAACAAGAAGCTTCCGAAAGATAGATCAATCCAATCAACTCCCTCATCAATCTTCTGACTCGTGTCCCTTTTCTTCATGTATTGTCCACATATACATGTCTGTTATGCCTTCCATGACTCTCCACTCCCACTCCAATATCAATCCAACATTCTCTCATCTCTATCCCACCCCATAACCCTCATCATCCCATACTTCTCATGCACCCACGACCGCACGCAAACAAACAAAGATAGTTTATAAAAAGCCCACAATCATAACCTCCAAAAGCCCCCCCCCCCTCCTTCCCTCTAGCTCTTCATTTTTCCCACACATTTCTAACTTCAACATTACAAAAACTGAACAAGCCAACCAAACAAACACACATAGTACAGGCTAAACAGAGCCGTACAGATATCTTATAGTATATATAGAGAGGGAGAAAGAGAGATTTATTTTCTTACTTAGGCGTTCTTGGTGACTTTTATTATCCTCTTCTTCTTACCGAGAAATGAAAGTGCCCTTTATTCAAAATCAACCATCAATATTGAACTCAACGAAACAAGTGAATTGCAACGACAACAACAACGACCTCCGCACCACCACCACCACCACCTCCATCAACAGCAACACTTTTCTGGGCTACGAGCCAAAATCAGTTCTCGAGCTCCGACAAAGTCCGAGTCCGGTCACCGAAATTCCGTCCTCAAATACCGATATTTCCACCGTCTGGGACGACACAGGTCTTCAGCTGGAGGATCATGTGCTGAATCATTTCGAAGTAGACTGGGATTCTTTGATGAGAGAATTGGGCTTGCATGAAGATTCTAATCCAACCCCCACTTCCAGACCTACTACCTTTAGTCATTCCCAGTTCACACCAAGCGGGTCTCAAGTTCAGTTCCAAAATCTTCCCGAGTTTCCCCCGACTCATAACTCCTTTGATTCTACTCTCTTTGTCCCTTCCGACATCACCCTCCCCGATATCTCTACGTACCCGTCGTCTTTCAACGATAGCTCCATCAACTCTCTCGGGCTCTCTCATGATGCTCATCATCACAATACCAATCTCACCTGGAATCCAGGGTTTGATTACGTCGATGAACTCATCCGACTCGCCGAGTGCTTTGAGACCAACTCGCTTCACCTGACTCACGTGATACTGGGACGGCTCAACCAGCGCCTCCGAGGTCCAACAGGGAAGCCACTCCAACGAGCTGCCTTCTACTTCAAGGAAGCTCTGCAAACCCTACTCACCGGGTCAACCCGTCTAACTCAGCCATCCACTTCTTCCGAGGTTATCCAGAGCATCAAAGCCCATAAGGCCTTCTCCAACATCTCCCCTGTACCCATGTTCTCCAGCTTCACGGCCAACCAAGCCGTCCTCGAAGCTGTTGATGGCTCCATGCTCATCCACGTCATCGACTTCGACATCGGCCTCGGAGGCCACTGGGCTTCCTTCATGAAAGAGCTAGCTGATAAAGCCGAGTTGCGCAAAGCAGCCCCGCCGGTTCTCAGGATTACCGCTGTGGTCGGAGAGGAGTATGCAATGGAGTCTAAGTTGATCAGAGAAAATCTTTCTCAGTTCGCGAGAGAACTCAATATCGGCTTCGATTTGGACTTCGTTTTAGTACGTACATTTGAGTTTTGTTCCTTTAAAGCTATCAAATTCATGGAGGGTGAGAAGGTTGCTATTCTTTTATCTCCAACTATTTTTCGCCGCGTCGGGACAGGATTCTTGAGCGATCTACGCCGCGTTTCGCCGCATGTCGTGGTGCATTTGGATTGCGAAGGGTTGATCGGGTTCGGAACGATGTCTTTCAGGCAGACTTTGATAGACGGGCTGGAGTTTTACTCGACGCTGTTGGAGTCCTTGGAGGCTGCGAACGGTGGTGGGGGTGCTGATGATTGGATGAATAAAATGGAGAGTTTTGTCATTTATCCAAAGATTCTGGAGGCGGTCGGGGTGGCCGGCCGCCGTGGAGCTCCGTGGAGGGAGGCTTTTGTGGCGGCCGGTCTGAGGCCGGTGGCGCTGAGCCAGTTTGCTGACTTCCAAGCCGAGTGTTTGATAAGGAGAGTACAGGTGAGGGGGTTCCACGTGGCGAGGAGACAGGCGGAGATGCTGCTTTGCTGGCATGAGAGGGCCCTCGTTGCCACGTCAGCATGGAGGTATTAGCAGCAAGCATAACAGCAACAGCTTTTAGCAGAATAAGCGGCAGTCTTAAACCTGATAATGGGGGATTAAATTAAGTAGGAAGCATGTGATGAAACTAGTAATTTGCGTAAGGGTACAATGTAATTTAACTTGGGATTACCTGTGGTTTAGGTACAGCTTATATAGCTTATGCCTGTGCTTTGGCTGTAAAAGTAAAAACAAAGGGTGGGGTTTACTTCTTGTGTTTCTTTCTTTCGCTTTCCTTTGAGCATTGTCTGTCTTTAACTGTTTTAGTTTTTCAGCAAGAACTGTCGTATATGCTACTGAGCGACTGATGTCTGAGGGCAAGAACTCACTCGCTTCGCTTCACTTTTATAAGCTGCAAATGCTAAAGACAACACTAAATGAAATGACAGAGACTTGAATGCTATCATAATTTGCATCGAGCATATTGTTAACTCACAAAACTTCTTTCTCTCCTCAATTTCAGAATGCATTTGTTCACTCCGTTGAGAGAATGTAAAACTTTTGCATACCATACCTCTGACATCCTTTTAAATAATTCACCTCAAAAGATGACTGTCATTTTCACCATAAAGCATTGGACCTTTTAACGAAAACCGGCAATCTTCGGAATCTATCAGTCGCAAAGCCTCATGGACATGTGCAATTCCGAGACAGCTTTAAACTAGATTGCCACTAGAATCAACCCAAAGTTGTTTTTGACAGTCCAATCAGAATCGAACGACCCTCTTTCATTTGGAACTTCAGGTGAAGGAGCCTTGCAGCTGTCTAGTTTCTCCTTCAAGAACCACATAATAAAACCAAAGTATGCAACGTCTCCACCCATCCGAACTATGCTGGAAATAGTTGTTTGCATTATCAAATTGCATATAAATAGGAAAACAAAACTTTAAAATGGACGACAGAATCACCCAAAAACTACTCTTTCTTCTATTTCTCCAATTGACTACTAGTACACCAAAGAGCACAAACTGAGCTCATGTTGGAATTCGACAGTATTATGATACAGTTACAACTGAGATATGGTTAAACTGTATAATTAGTAGAAACCAAACATTCTTTACCTAATCAACCCTAGAGTAATAAATTTCTCAGGTACTTTGCATAATTTCCGGGCAATTATAAACTGAGTCACTTTATCTGAAATCACTTCTCTCAATGGTCATCTTCATCACCATTTGTCTCAAGTTGGGTGATGCTACTGCTCTCTAATTTAGCTACTGCCTCTGGTCCACACAACCTAGTCAACTCCTCCTGTTTCAGCAGCAAATCCATCATAGGCAGCAATGGAACAGTTTTGTGGGTGGGGAGGGCATAGGTTCAGCCAGGAAACAGACGTGTTAATAAACCGAGACATAAACATCCAGAACGGAAAGCACAATGTAGAATACTGTGCTGAAAACAGTTGTTGCATGAAATAACTAGTGGCGAGCGACAGATACAATGCGATATTAAAGGTGATTTTACCAACCTTAATAGAGTTATTTTCGGATGTAAGCTTCTCGCATTCCTCAGAAACCTTTTGTAGCTCATCCCTAAGTGCACGATTTTCACTGTTCAGTGACTCGACTCTCTGCTGCAACTCTTCGCACTCAGCCTAGTGAGAATAGGAAATTGTCATCAGCTAAAAACAATTTATACAGGAAATCTGTTCAGTTTAGGCAATTAATCTCAGAAATTGTCAAAGAAGAGAATCAATGATAATAACAAGTATTTGAAGCAGAACAATCAAAAGATCTCCTTTTGAGGTTCTGACTCAAGTATTCAGTAATTCGTAGTTCACTTTACATGTTAAGAAATCTAGAGAAATTTTCCTCTTAATTGTCCTCAGTACAAGAGGTGCAGCATCCTAGGGTTGTCATCTTGGTTGCTTGCAGAATAGGAAAAGCACCATGATTCAGAATAAGACACATCAAAGTAACATTACAATTTGAAGAAACAGTTTAAAGTTGTCTGACATATATAAATAAATGTTAGTGTATTAATTCCTCCAAATAATGAAAATCACCCTTTTAGGTGAAATGATGCACCAATTGCTTCTTCCCAAGTTTATCAAATAAGAGGACACTATGAGCAAGTGGAGTACAACTGTCTTTGCGCCATTACAAGGCATCTCAATGAGCTCTTGTTACAGTCAACCCATCTTCTTATAACTAAGCAACCATGCATATTAACCCAGTAAGATATTTCCTCTAAATTGTTTCCCACCATTCCTGAAGAAAAACCTTTTAAAATCTTTTCCTAAGCAAGATTATTATCATTCCAACAATCTCTAACATTTTGGCAACTTAAGAAACCTCATGAGCTCATCTCATCATAATCACAAAACACTCTTTTGCTTCCCTTCAGATGAAACCCACTTCAATGACTCGTAAAATTTCAAAAAATAACTTCCACAAGAAAAATCTCACAGTAACTAAAAGATCATTTCCAGGCTGTACAGCTGTAGCAATACTTTTCATGGTTAGCTACTCAAGTCCCTCTGCCAAGGACTAGAGGTGTCCTAAGTCAAAACACAAGAAAATAAAAGAATAGCAGTATCTCCTTGCAAAAGGTATTATACATTCTCAATACAAAAAGACCATTCACCCGAAAATCCACCTACAACCTGCAAAAGCTCTTCATTTCAAGGTCAGCTCTTTTATAACCTCCTCGAGGGGTTGACAACAGTAGAGGGACACAAATTTTTTTTTTTTAATCTACATCAGCTTGGTAACTGTGACAGAAAAGTGGATATAGTATTAACAGGACCTAGAGCTAACAGCTAAGGAGTAGTAAAAGGAGATAAATCCTCATAGGTACAAACAGATAGAGAATAGCGGCTCATTTTGCATATACATTCGCTCAGGAAACACCACGAGAGTTTTGTGGTCTATCTAAATTAAATGGAAAGCATATGTGCATAAAATTATTTACATTCATCCAAAACCCAATGTGAAATCTACACATTTTTACAAGTATCACATAGCACATAGAATCATAACATGGAAAAGTAACTAAATTTTGTGAAAACACAGTAATATGTGCTCAATACAAATAGAAGAGCTGAAGGAGATGAGGTGTCATCATGAATCAATAAGGCAATTACAAAGAAACGTTGGAAAATGTATTTTATGGCCATAAAACTTGAGATACATACCTGTTTGCGTAATCTTGATCTCCGGGCAGACTCACGATTAGATTGCTTTCGCTTCTGTCTTTTCAACTCTCGCTCATCCTGTGAATTGAAAGGTCATGACTACAAAATGTTCAGAATAATATATAGGTCTATGATCTTTACAGTCCCAAATTGTGCAAACAACTAATATTGAACCTCTCAAATATACGATGGATAATCTTATCTATAATGCATTGATAGCTGAGCCAAAAAGGAAAATAGAAATATAATCCTGAAGAAAAATGTTAAACTATGAAAAGGAAATGGCAATAACATAAGAGACACCTGTAACTGAAACAAAACTCTAACTAGACACTCTCGAGCAATAATTTGGGCATTAGAGCGCTTTTAAGAGCAAGTTTAAGTTCATAGAACTGTCAATCAGATAGTTTAAGATAACAACCCAGAATCAAGTATCATAAAATTCTAAGTGTGATGCTGTGAACCCTCCAACTGTATCAAATTTTATATTGAAAGTTTAACTATCATTTAATCTGGAAGAAAATCAACAAAAAAATATGTACTCGGGATCTAATCAAATCAAACAAGTTAATGGTATTATATGGATTTTACCGTACATAGTAGGAGGATTTATCAAACTACAAAATATTTTACTAATTTATGTTTATTTTACTTCAGACAGCTGTCAACCACTATAGCCAATTAAGCTAGTTAATCATCAAATCCAGATTTTGGAGGGGATACTTTGATCGGGTTCGACTCTATTCAAACTTGAAGAAAATTAGCTTACAAGCAAAAGTTGAAGTACTTGACAAAAATTGCAAATACATAAGACAGTAAGATCATTAAGAATTTCAACTTTGGACAAAAAACACAGTAAGATTCAACGGAAAGAATCTATTTTTATTGTCTCATTAAGAATTCCCTAAAACCATTAAAAAAAATTAGATATTAGGTTGCACAAGCAATAAATAACCCAAGGACATTCATGCTTTTCAACTCATTTTTGGTTTCAAAGCAATTTTCAAAACCCACCAATTCCATAATTGGAAACTAACTAAGCAGTAACTAATTCAGATAACACTATATTTCAACCACTTATTAAAATGGGACGCACAATGAGATGGACAGAACTTGAAAGATTCACACCTGAATCCACTGGTCAGTCATCATGCCAGGAGCAACAGCAGGTGAGACACCAGGATTTGGACGCATCTTCATGGCTCCAGAAGCTCCAGAAGATGGATTCCACAAGTCCATTCCAATATTTAGATTAGTAGCAGGCACGGAGACTACAGGATTCCCAGGCACTGAATTCTGAAAATTTGCTACAGAAGTATTGTTCTGTGCAGTGGCTCCTGACAATATAGTAAACAGAATTTAATACGTGTAGTTAAATATATGCATTATTAAAGGTAGAGACAACAAAAAATTTACCATCTGCAAGCATTTGATCAAAGCTGCCTTTCTTTGTTGCAGAAAGTTCCTGAGATACAAAATCAGAAACATCTCAGTTGAAGAAAGTCATAGCGTTATATTTACCTTTCCTACAGCCTGAAAAAGACATACATGGTTATTATTCTCATCGCTTCCATCAGATGAACCTTCACTTCCACTTTCAGCACTGTATTTTAGCAGACAAACTTATCAGATGTGATAAGCAACCCACCATATGAAGCATATCTTTTCATTCAAGTGCATTACAAGATAAAAAAATGTAATTTAGGTTAGAAGAAAAGTTTAATAACAAGCCAATCCACCTTTGAGTTGCACCATCATTTCCTGAGCCTGAAGCCGCTTTCCCACTCTCCCCAGCCTTGACAGCAATCAACCCAGGGTTTCCTGAAGGACCCTTGAGTTTTTTGTTTGTGTTCCGGTCTTTCCCATCAGGAGCTTTTGCATCCGACTCTATAGGAGCCTGTACCGCTCCTGGAGCCTAACACATACATAACAAGAAAATAAAAGAAAAGAAGCACCATTAGTTGACAAAGACAAAAACTAACAAATCAAATTAGGCATCATCATCATGGCATGATTTCTGCTAACCAATCAAAAAACTACAATTCTAGTCCAGATTACCATTGCCATGTTAGGATGAGCATAAACTCCCCCTGGATATAGCGCTGGATAAGGAACTGGAGTGCCATAAGGTGGCATCAGAGGATGCTGAAAAGTACGTGCATAAAGTCACGATTTTAGCTATTCATAGCAAGGTCCTCCAGAGTAGAACTCCTACAAAGTCAGAAAATGGAAGGGAAGAGCAAAAGATTAACGGAACTTCTCACCTGGTTGCCCCATAAATAGGGATGGGGACTAGGAGAAGCAACAGTTGATGCAAAAAAGGGTGGAGTAGCTCCAGCACCATAGTAAGCCTAACAAGAGAAAGTTCAGTTAGGTATTACTATGTGGAAGTACTGAATATCCTGTCCTAGTTGCACATTAGATGAAATTTGATGAAGAAAATAATTTAAAACCTGCATAGAGGCTGACCAGTCAGGATATGAAGGGGTAGCAGGAGTTTCCTACAAGTATGTTTCAGGAAAATGTTGTTCAAGACTGAGTTGAAAAGAACGTACGTCTCAACCTACTTAAATACATGGAGAAAATAAAAGGAAGTTTACCTGATTTGTGGGTGTAGGTTTTGAAGGCTTTGCAGGGGTGCTTTCTTCCCCAGTCCCCATTGGACAAGTGGACTGTAGATTCAATGACCTGCCTTATCTATTAGTCCACAATAGGAGTTCTTGTAGCCTTAATTTAAATATAGAAGGACCTGCATGCATAAGCATAGCATGAAATTATGAAAATGAATATTTTCGGATCGACATTTGGAAGCAATTAGTATTGTCAGCATCAGTGGTATACAATCATTACCTCAATGACTATAATCCTAAGTTTCTCTGTGGAAGCTTATATTCTTCTAATCAAGCAAGAAAGAAAGAGCACCTAAATTCTAAGGGGCAACCTTTTCTTTTGAATCCTTTCACGATATTCTATGTTATAAAGCCACAAATATCAGTTTCCAATTGTAAGACAGACCAAAAGGCTGAACTATTGTAATCAGAAACAAAGCTCTACACAAACGGAAGCACAGCAGCATCCGAAGACTGAAAAAACAAGAGATCCGTAGCACGAAACCAATTAAGCCAAAGACAGCATGAGATATTAGCAAATGTCAGGCTGAAGACACCACAGCTCCTTCCAGCTCCAATTGTCCTTCAGCTGTTATACCAAAACACAAGAAGTACTAAACCTTGTATCACATCTATGTAACGTTTACTAGCAACCACATACTCTTAAGTCACCAAACGTTCTATCATTTTCAGCATTTCTCTAAGATTACAAGAGAGCTAAGCCAGGGATCGCGCTGACAGACCAGGATATTCTGGCCCTAAACAATCAAACCAGGAAAGGAGAAAAATAAAAGAAAATAAAATAATTGGAAACATGGAAAAAGAAAAAAGGGTGTAACGCGTCTTAGATGTTAGCTTGCCTAAAATGCATTAATTGATGAAGAGAACAGGAATTCAAGCAGCATGACATATTATGAATGATGAATCACAACACAAACATGATATTTTTGCATCAACAATTAATCATAACTAGAGTTCTGACGAAAACCAAGCACATTTCTTTATGCTTCGCCGCGTTCTACACCCAATACAACTAAATAAGCACACCAACTTTACGGCAGGCTATGCACCCGCAATTGAATAGTGTTATCACTACTACGCATTCCCATTAGCCCTCCCTCTTTAATAGAAATCCAAAACACTAATTCGGCCCGAAAATTAAAATACAAGACGCAAAATTCTCCTTTCCTACCGAACAACTCCATAGAATCACATGATACGCTAATCCTCCGGGCCACTAAATTCACTCAGCTCTTGTCCTTAACAACTCAAAATTTCAAAGACAGAAAAGCAGTTAAATTCAACAATTCACACCCGCAGCAAACAAATCATACTCATTAATCCGAAACAACGTTTAAGAAAAGGAACAAATAAAGCAAAAACAGAAGCCGACGAAATTCAACTGCGTTTATCACGAGTCCTACATAGACGGTGTGCGTGGATATGGGTATATGCAAGAGAGAGAGAGACAAAAAAAAAAAAAAAAAAAAAAAAGGCAAAGAAGCAGAGAAAAGAATAATAAAAATGAAGGGAGACGGAAAGAACGAGGGAGAGAGCGGGGACTGAGAGGGGGAGAGAGAGAGAGAGAAAGACACAGAGAAAACAGACCTGAGGTGGTGGTGTGGGTGTGGTGTGTGAAGAAGAAAGAGAGAGAGTCTGAGAGGAGGGATGAGGTGGAACGCCCAAACACACTCCAACTCGGATAGATTTAGATTTAGACTAACAACAACAACAACACCCCCACTACAAATACAACCCTTTTTTTTTTTTTTTTTTTTTAAGCGTAGCAACAATTACAAACCTGCCTGCGTACTGAGAGTCTTTTGTTGGGACAAGTCTGATGCTTCCCAGTTCGTACCAACGAGAAAACCTTATTATTATACTGCGACTAGTCTACTACTTCTACTAGTAGTACTGTAAAAGATAGAGAGTTCGACTGAGATCCAACGGTTGGGAAGCTAGGGCTGTTAGTTAAGTAATACTTAGTAGTAGTACTATTTTTTTTTTTTTCATAAGAACAAAAAAATAGAAAAAGAGTGGACAATAAATCCCCTTCGCCGGTGATTTTGTTGGAATATCTGTCTGTTGTGGTTCAGATTTTTATTATTCTGAATCACATACTACCATGCTTCTTAATACGCTACTACCACTCTACTCAGCCAGGATAATAGTAGTAATACTAGCAGTACTTTGTATCATCCACTCTTATCTTTAGCTCAGGGCAGTGGCAGGAAAGAAATGTTACTATCAGGGAAACGGAAGGAATTACACAAACTACTAGTATCAATTTATTTATCACCTAGATGGAAGGAGGACAGAGAAGGAAAACGACACGGCGGCAGTATCTACGTCGACGCACACACGATGACACGACCACCTCTGTCGGTCCCTCTCCTCAAATTTTGACTTTTGACCCATGTACTACATAACTGAAGATGGAAATGGTGGGCAGCGGCTTCGCTGGATTCTTTTCTTCTTAAGGTCTTTTTCTTGTGCTACTTACTTCTAGCCCTACTATGGATGGTAACTCTCTTGTTACTACTTACCATGCAAGTACTTGACTTGTTAGTGCTCATTAATGTTTTGTTGTTTGTTGAACTGGACTTAAGGTTCTTTCCTTTTTTTTTTTTTTTTTTTTACACCTTAATGGATGTCTATTCCACCAATTGGTTGGATAGTGTTGGTTTGTGAATTCCACCTTAGATTGTGCTTAACACCTTGACGTCGATTACCTCCAAATGTTAATCTAACTTTGTTGGAGGTTTCCAATTATTTCGACAGTTGAAAAAAAAATAGATGTCTATTCCAAGTGCTCGCGAATACAAGCCTAAATCAAATCTGACTTATTGTTAACTATTAATACCGTTTGTTATATTTATACATTTTCTTAATTAACTTTATTTTTTTAAAAATTTTGAGTGAACTATTATCTTAATACGTGCTACTAACCCAGGAATTAACTATTAAAAAATTTTAAAAATTCTCTAACAAATAGCCTAAAGTATATATAAATCTATTATGTGAATGTGTATATTCAAATTTATTGTACTCCTATATTCAAACACTTTATATTGTAATTAATTTCACAGTTACAAGAAATAAACTCTCCTAGCGGACACCCCCTATTAGACAAGCTCAAAATATTAAAAAAAAAAAATTTTTTGATAAAGAATTGTGTCATATCCGTGCTGTTTATGGGACTTCATGGTGGAGTTTAGGGGTGCAGACAAGTCGAGTTGAATGAAAATCGAATTTGAGCTCAAGTTTAATGAGTTCTTAATGTAAAGTTTGACCTCAAGATTGACCCAAATTCAAGTCGAGCTCAAGTTTAAAAAAATTTAAAAAAAATAATAATTATTTTAAATTTTAAAAATGAATAAAATAATAAATTTTATTAATAAATAATAAAATATATATATATATGTAATTTTATTATTAAAATAATATATATAATCGAATTGAACCGCAAACTAATAAGTTGAATATTTTTTAATTATAATTTAATTTAATTAACTCGAATTCGATATTGATCGAACTTGACTTGTTTGCAAACGGTTCTATTCATTTGCAGCCCCAACGGAGCTCCGATGTTGTTTAAACGGTGGTTGGGCTTTTGAGTTTTGGGAAGCTGATAAGTAAGATGGACTTCTGGGAGCGGATGGATGCCGATGGAGGGCGTAGGGAACATTGGGGTTTTGAGAATGTGACACGTGAACGCAGAGAGGCATCTAGCTGGCATGCATTGGATGGATAGGCATGACCCCGCAAACTCCTTGTTTTGGATAACTTAATTTATTGGTTTAATTACATTTATCTTCCTTGAGGTTTGATCAAATTACCATTTACACCTTGTATTTTGGTCAAACTACAAAAAGGTCCCTCAATCTAAAAATTGTATGACAAATACGCCCCTCTCGTTTGCAAATTGACTTTGACCGTTGGTGTTTAGATCACGTCAGCATGCATTTTTAATGAGATCCCTACATTGCCCACAACAACAACAACACGGTCGCCTCCTTCAAGTTGTCGCAGTTATTTTATAAGGCAAAAGTCTCGTCCTACTCGCAGACTATTTTCCACCCTCCACAATTTGTTGGCAGCAAGGTTCGAACCAGGGACCTAAGGCTCCATCTTCAGCAAGACAGCAACCTCAACCGCCAGACCAAGCCCCGGAGGGCTTCTACAAACACTTAAAGTTGAGGTATACATTTAAATGTGGGAGAAAATTTGTGATCTTCGTCCCCGGCTTTGCGGATTTATGTTGTTGTCATCTAAAACCTTCAACTTTCACTTCATGATATGGAAAACCTGGAACACCTCCGCGAGGACTACAATCTTCTAGGCCTGCGTACAACGTAAACTTCTAATTGACCATATTATTATACATGTCACTCATCTTTGTCGACGGATTGGCGAAACTCAATCCACTGCCATCTATATATTCCTTCGAGTTAATCTTCTATTTGAGTATTTGCTCGTATGAGAAAAGAAATTAGAAGTTCGAAGTGATGACTAACACCATTGTCAAAGAACTTTGCTGTAAGGATGCGTCTTTTATTTAGTAAAAACCCAAAAAACAAGGCTGGTTTGTCACTAGCTCATAAGACCTGATTGTAACTGCAGCAAATTTCTTGAGCAGCAATTAGCTTCAAAATATAAAGAGGGACCCGGGAAATTATTAAAATGAGTAAAAAGGTCAAAAACTTTTGGTTGGAAGGAGAAAATCAACAAAATGGAACATCATCATCATTGCTTCTATAAGCTGCTCTCTTCTGTTTCCAACCTTTTCTGTACACTCTTTACCATCACAACAAAAATGTTTGACACAACTTCTTAACCATTCTTAAGATGGACTAGCTGAAAACTGATTCTTCATGTATGCTGCAAAATTCAATTTCTCCTATGCAACTACCGTTTATACTCAGCAGCTCTTCTCTTTTTCTCTGCATTTCCCGCCACCGATCCCGTTCCTCAATCAGGGCGGGAAACCTGCTAAAACAAGACATACACTAATTTAACCACTAAGATTCTTGTTCGGTTGATATCCTATGATCTCAAGGCAATTGCTTCAAACTTCATGTTTCAAGTCATGCTTTTTTACGATTTTATCTAATGTTGGAAACACCAACACTGAGACCATAAGTTAATTCAGGATGATCACAAGTTTATGTCCAGGATGATGAGCTGTCCATGCATCCAGACCCAGGAGTCCGTATCCATAGCCACATCAAACACACTTGCTGAAACAAGTCAGCAAACTCCTTTTCTTCTTGTTGTTGCCCCTACGCTTCCTCAAACATTCGACCGCAACTAGAGAATCCTCAGCCCCTGTCGTCTTTGAATGTTCTGTGTCGAAAAGATTCGGCAGTGTCTTCTGCACTGAGCACATGTTGGCAATGAACTTTGAAAGAAAATCTGTAATTTGTGCAAATTCTGGTCGATCAGCAGGGTCTGCAGCCCAGCATGATTTTAGGAGGGGTAC